GTCTGTCTGTCCTCGTGTGTCCTCATGTCTCCGTCTGTCCTCATGTCTCAGTCTGTCCTCATGTCTCAGTCTGTCCTATGTCTTCGTGTCTCCTCATGTCTCCTTATGTCTCTGTGTGTCCTCATGTGTCCTCATGTCTCTGTCTCCTCAAGTCTGTCTGTCCTCGTGTGTCCTCATATCTCTGTGTGTCCTCTTGTGTCTGTCCTCATGTCTCTGTGTCTCCATGTTTCTGTGTCTCCTCATGTCTGTCTGTCCTCATGTGTTCTCATGTCTCTGTCTGTCCTCATGTCTCTGTATGTCCTCATGTCTCTGTCTGTCCTTATGTCTCCTTATGTCTCCGTATGTCCTCATGTCTCTGTGTCTCCTCATGTCTGTCTGTCCTCGTGTGTCCTCATATCTCTGTGTGTCCTCTTGTGTCTGTCCTCATGTCTCTGTGTCTCCATGTTTCTGTGTCTCCTCATGTCTGTCTGTCCTCATGTGTTCTCATGTCTCTGTCTGTCCTCATGTCTCTGTATGTCCTCATGTCTCTGTCTGTCCTTATGTCTCCTTATGTCTCCGTATGTCCTCATGTCTCTGTGTCTCCTCATGTCTGTCTGTCCTCGTGTGTCCTCATGCCTCTGTATGTCCTCATGTCTCTGTCTGTCCTCATGTCTCTGTGTCTCCATGTCTCTGTGTGTCCTCATGTCTCTGTGTCCTCATGTCTCTGTATGTCCTCATGTCTCTGTCTGTCCTTATGTCTCCTTATGTCTCCGTATGTCCTCATGTCTCTGTGTCTCCTCATGTCTGTCTGTCCTCGTGTGTCCTCATGCCTCTGTATGTCCTCATGTCTCTGTCTGTCCTCATGTCTCTGTGTCTCCATGTCTCTGTCTGTCCTTATGTCTCCTCATGCCTCTGTATGTCCTCATGTCTCTGTCTGTCCTCATGTCTCTGTGTCTCCATGTCTCTGTGTGTCCTCATGTCTCTGTGTCCTCATGTCTCTGTGTGTCCTCATGTGTCTCTGTCTGTCCTCATGTCTCTGTGTGTCCTCATGTCTCTGTCTGTCCTTATGTCTCTGTGTCTCCACGTCTCTGTCTGTCCTCATGTCTCTGTGTCTCCATGTCTCTGTGTCCTCATGTCTCTGTGTGTCCTCATGTCTGTCTGTCCTCATGTGTCTCTGTGTCTCCATCAGGATGGAGGGCGGGGAACTCTTCCAGAGAATCAAATCTCAGCAGCAGCTGAAGGAAAACGTGGCCAAGCTTTACTTCTATCAGATGCTCTGCGCCGTCCAGGTGCCACACTGCTGCTGCCATGGTAACGTCAGGTGTGTCCCCACAGGTAACTCTGCTCGTCTCTCAGTATCTCCACAGCAACGGGATCATCCATCGGGACCTGAAGCCGGAGAACATCCTGCTGGCGTCCAACGAAGACATTTGTCTCATAAAGGTAGACCTGCTGGTCTCCATCATCCACGTCTTCCTCGTCTGTCTAGAAACAGCTGATTAATCCCGCCCCCCTCACCTGTGTTTCAGGTGACAGACTTCAACCAGTCCAGGATCCTGGAGGAGGCGGCCCTCATGAGGACTCTGTGTGGGACCCCGTCCTACCTGGCTCCTGAGGTCTTCACCAACGCCTCCACCACGGGCTACGGGCTCGCCGCCGACGCCTGGAGCCTGGGGGTCCTGCTGTTCGTGTGGTAGGCTCCGCCCTCCTCGGGCACACCTGTCCCACCTGGTTCCTCAGAGTCTGACCCGTCTGTCTGCTCCCTCCAGTCTGAGCGGCTACGCCCCATTCCACGAGAGCTTCAGCAAGCACTCGGTGACGGAGCAGATCATCAGGGGCGAGTTCACCATGGTTCCTGCCAAGTGGACACAGGTCTCCAACCAAGGTACCACCAGAACCAGAACCTGCTGCACCGGTTCCACACAGGTTCAGAACCAGTTCTACACAGGTCCTGCAGCTCGTCTTATTGTCTGTCAGAACCTTCAGTTCCTCTGAACAAAGATTAAACTGCTTCATTCCATGATGATGGTAATGACAATGATGATGATGATGGTTCTGAGCTCTGACCCGGTTCTTCTCTTTGTTTCAGCTAAAGATGTGGTGAGGAAGCTGCTGGTGGTCGACCCAACGAAGAGGATGACTATTGATGAAGCTCTGCAGCATCCCTGGTTACAGGCAAGTGCTGCAGCCGCAAGAGTTAGTGCAGCTGCAAGAGTTACTATAGTCACAAGAGTTACTGTAGTCACAAGAGTTAGTGCAGCCGCAAGAGTTAGTGCAGCCGCAAGAGTTACTATAGTCACAAGAGTTACTATAGTCACAAGAGTTACTGTAGTCACAAGAGTTAGTGCAGCCGCAAGAGTTACTGTAGTCACAAGAGTTACTGTAGTCACAAGAGTTAGTGCAGCCGCAAGAGTTAGTGCAGCTACAAGAGTTACTATAGTCACATGAGTTACTGTAGTCACATGAGTTACTGTAGTCACATGAGTTAGTGTAGTCACATGAGTTACTGTAGTCACATGAGTTACTGTAGTCACATGAGTTAGTGTAGCCGCAAGAGTTACTGTAGTCACAAGAGTTAGTGTAGCCACAAGAGTTACTGTAGCCACAAGAGTTACTGTAGCCACAAGAGTTACTGTAGCCACAAGAGTTACTGTAGCCACAAGAGTTACTGTGGTCACATGAGTTACTGTAGTCACATGAGTTACTGTAGTCACAAGAGTTAGTGCAGCCGCAAGAGTTAGTGCAGCTGCAAGAGTTAGTGCAGCTGCAAGAGTTAGTGCAGCAGGAGTAGTACTGCAAAGACTGTAGTACTATAGCATGAGGATTATAGTTCTACAGAAGCACTGCAGGAGTACTACAGCAGGGGTACTGTGGAAGTGCTATGACAGGAGTACTACAGTAGTACTATGACAGGAGTACTGTAAAAGTACTATGACAGGAGTACTGTGCTGTAGAAGTACTATGACAGGAGTACTACATTAGTACAATGACAGTACTCCTGTCATAATACTATGACAGGAGTAATACAGTAGTACTACGACAGGAGTACTGTAAAAGTACTGACAGGAGTACTACAGTAGTACTGACAGGAGTACTGTAAAAGTACTATGACAGGAGTACTACAGTAGTACTATGACAGGAGTACTGTAAAAGTACTGACAGGAGTACTACAGTAGTACTGACAGGAGTACTACAGTAGTTCTATGACAGGAGTACTGTAAAAGTACTATGGCAGGAGTACTACAGCAGGGGTACTGTAGAAGTACTATGAGAGGAGTATTACATTAGTACTATGACAGTACTCCTGTCATAGTACTATGACAGGAGTACTACAGTAGTACTATGACAGGAGTACTGTAAAAGTACTATGACTGGAGTACTACAGTAGTACTATGACAGGAGTACTGTAAAAGTACTATGACTGGAGTACTACAGTAGTACTATGACAGGAGTACTACAGTAAATGACATCAGTCCACAGAGACATGTTGGTCACAGGGTCAGCTCAGATGCATCATGGGAAATGTAGTCAGCTGACTGTGGTGTTTTCAGGATCAGGAGATGTTGGCGACCGCTCGTCGACTCATGTACCCGTCAGAAGGAGACGCTGCTCCTCCTGCTCCTGTTTCTCCTCCCACGGTAACACACACACACACACATTTATCCAGTGACTCCATCTCTAACCTGAACTTTGACTCCTCCCACCAGCAGGGGGCGGAGTCATCAAGAAAAGTTTCAAGAAGGAAACGAGGAAGAGAGGACAACAGCGAGGATCATCCAGTGAAGCGGCGCCAGGCTCCGCCCCCTGCTCCAGTGTAGAGGACCTGAAGCTGCTGTACAGTTTTTGTCTTCATTTATATTTATGTTGTTTTACTTTTTAAAGATTTTCTTTGATTCATTAACTGTTTGTTTGTTTGGATGGTCTGATGTGGACCCGGCCCATCGCTCTGGTTCTGTTCTTTAAAGCTCAGACCGGTTCAGTCTTTGCAGCTGTTAAAAACTCTAAGCTGATTAAAAACTGTTTAAACTCTAAATCATTTTTTCTGCCTTTAATGAAGCTCATTAAACACTGAGATTAAAGAGTTTTACAAGAATGCTCGTCGCCGCTCATTCTGCAGCTTTCGTATGTTTTGTGTGGCAGCCATTTTGAATCGGTTAGATTCCGAAGCTTTATCATGACAGACATACTGTATTTCTCACTATATTCAATAAATAGACAAGCAGAACACTGGGCATTTATTTTGAAAAGACATTGATTTAGGTTGAAAGATGGCTTTTATTTTGGTGAATTAAGGCACAGATATGACAGTGCCTGAATGTTGAAGATGTTAAAGGTTCAGCCAGCAGAGGGCGATGCTGTAATGTCAAGAGTTTCTGAAAAACTGAACAGAAGTTTTATTTTTGAACACAGGAAAACACTCAGCTGATGGCCTCTCTGGTCCGGTTCAGTCAACGGGTCAACATATTTTAAGATGCTTGTCAAAATATTCAAACAGAAATAAGAATTAAACTACATTTCCCATCATGCAGCAGGCCTGTCTGAAGGAATTCCGACTATATTAGAAATATAAAATAATCTCTAAATGAAAACATTTGACATGAAACCATGAAAACTAAAACCTAATTAATAAAAATTGAAACATTATAGCTTAAAACAAGAATATACTGTTTATGTATATATATAAATAAACTTTAAGACATCTTGTGTTTTAATCTCGCTGGATCTCAGCTGAAAGTTTAATAAAACTGAGTAACGGCTGTCTCCTCATCAGGAGCAGTTTGTCCTCCGGCCTGCAGGAGGCGCTGGGCTCAGACTGACCCTTCAGGAATGAAACAGGAAGTGAGAAACTAAATCAGCTTTATTCAGGTTTTTGTTACAAACTGTTAAAGTGCGTAAAGTGATTAAATTTAATGATATAAAATCTGTGGAACAAGGTGAGGAGAACCATCGTTTCCTCATTGTTTCCATCTCCGATTCTGAGGATGATGAATAGGCTCCGCCCCCTCTGACATCACAGCCTGGCCCGGCGACGGTCTCTGACGCCGTACAGCACGGCGTGGGCTTCGTCAAACGAGTCGCCAACGGCCGACCGGACGCGGCTCATCCAGCGCTGCAGCTGGGGGCGGTCCTTCAGGATGTCCCGCCCCCCTCCCAGAGGCTGCAAAACACACATGGAGTGAGCGCTTAGAGACCTTCCCCGAACAAGCCCCGCCCCTCAGCCTCCGACGTCTCACCTGCATGAGCTCACAGGCGGCGAGCAGGTCGGCCACGGTGATGTCATCGCCACAGAGGAACGCCTGCCTGCCGAGGAACATGGACTCCAGTTTGTCCAACGTGTCCTCCAGCTCGGACAGCGCACGCTTCAGACGCACCTCGTCCACCGCCGGAGTGCCAAACTGCGTGGGGAGCAGCACCTGATGAGGGGGCGGAGTCTGACATCAGGTGTGTTCACAGGAAGCGTGTATTTAAAGGAAGTGTGTAAACAGGAAGTGTGTGTTTAAAGGAAATGCGTAAACAGGAAGTGTGTTCACAGGAAGTGCGTAAACAGGAAGTGTGTGTTCACAGGAAGTGCATAAACAGGAAGTGTGTGTTCACAGGAAGTGCATAAACAGGAAGTGTGTGTTCACAGGAAGTGTGTAAACAGGAAGTGTGCGTAAATAGGAAGCGTGTTAACAGGAAGTGCTGTGTTCTGTATGCTTCATTCTTTTGTTTGTTGTATACTTATCTTTTGTTCTAATAAAATTTGGAGGAAAAAATGTGTTAACAGGAAGTGTGTAAATATGAAGTGTGTGTTAACGGGAAGTGTGTATTCACCTCCAGGATGAAGACTTTAGCAGCTTTCATTCGTGTGTTCATGTGGTGCCAGGCCGTGTACTCGTCCACACGTGCACGTTGCTCTGGTTGCCGTGGATACCAGTGCTCGGGGACGTCGAAGGTGGTGGCCAGGTACTTGAGGATGGCATCGCTGCAACACAGGTACAGGTGAGTTAGTCATGAAGTTTCACGTGTTTAACAGGAGAGGACATTCCTGCAAGCTCACCCCAAAGGTCAGACTGTGTAATGCTCAGAGGTACTTCAGGTTTTCTGTACTGCTCCTACACATACCTGAGTATTTGTGTGTATTTACCATAGATTATGACACATTACTGGAAAGAGTGGAGAGCTGGGCAGGACTCTCTGGTCCAGTACTCAGCTGGTTTGAATCTTACATAAAGAACAGGGATCTCTTTGTTTCTACAGCTGACTTCTCATTAAAGTGGACAGACGTCAGATGTGGGGTACCCCACGGTTCAATCCTAGGACCCCTCTTATTTAACATCTTTATGCTCCTGCTAGCTCAGGTTATAACAGGAAATAAGATCAGCTACCACAACTGTGCAGATGATCCACAGCTCTACATTACGATGTCACCAGGTGAGTCTGAACCTATCCAATCACTGAACAGATGCTTGGAACAGATAAATGTGTGGAGGCGCCAAAACTTTCTCCAGCCGAACAGAAACAAAACTGAGGTTATCATCTTTGGACCTTAAGAGGAACAATCTACAGTCAACTCACAGCTTCAACTGCTACAGCTAGAAAGTGCTGTCAGGCTGTAGTCTGGGTGTAGAGATGGACTCTGACCTGAACCTTCACCTGAACCTTCAGAGCCACATGAAGACAGTTACAAAGTCCTTCTATCACCTGAGGAACATTTCCAGGATCAGAGGACTAATGTCTCAGCAGGATGTAGAGAAACTCATCCATGTGTTTATCTTTAGTCACATTCATGATGGTCTTCACAGGTCTGCCTAAACAAACCATCAGACAGCTGCAGCTGAGCCAGAACCCTGCTGAGGACAGAGCACATCACCCAGTCCTAAAGTCCTTTCACTGGCTCCCTGGAACTCAGAGAAAATACTTTAAAATACTGTTTATAAATCACTCAATACTGTTATTAGTTTATAAATCACTCAATGATGTTATTAGTTTATAAATCACTTAATGCAGGGCTATTTAACTAAATTTCTCCAGGGGCCACAGTTACTGCTGGTCAACAGCCGAACATCCAGCAATTAAAGTCATTATGTAAACAAACCAAGTTTAACAAACATCTGTTACCTTTGAAAGAGTTTGTTTTGCTGCATTTAATCGTGAATACAACATACAGAACCCTATAAAAGTAGTGATAATTAAACAATATCAAAAACAAAAAGAACACATTCTGCCTATTTAACACAAATATTCTTGATTATGTCAATCAAGAGTGACTTGCCAAATTTTCAAACCACTTTCATAGTTTTATCTTCAACTGCTTGTAATTTTAACTCTTGGGTGTTCATAGAAATGTTTTTTACCAGCTTGTAGTTAAGATAACTAAAAGAACTTAATTAAAGTAGAAACCAGGGCTTTGGGCTGAAGAGATGAATGAAGCTGCTAGTTGAATAGCCCTGACTTAACGGCTTAGCACCACAACACATTTAAGATCTGCTACTGTTGTATCAACCTTCCAGACCTGTCAGGTTTTCTGGTTCTGGTCAACTCTGCATCCCCAGAACCAGAACCAGAACCAAACATGGAGAAGCAGCATTCAGCTTTTAGGCACCGCAAATCTGGAACAAACTCACAGAAAACAGACGAAACTCTGATCCTTTAAATCAAGAGAGAAAACCCACCTGTTTAGAGCTGCTTATGAAACGTAATAAATGAAACATTAATCAACATTATGATGCGTAACAATGACACCTGACAAAGTGTAATACTTCAGTTAACTGTGTTTCTGTGACCGAGTATTCTTTTAGTGTTTTTATGAGGTAAAGCACTTTGAACTGCCTTGTTGCTGAAATGTACTTTACAAATAAACCTGATTGATTGATTGGTATTTGTGTGTGTGTGTGTGTGTGTGTGTGTGTGTGTGTGTGTGTGTGTGTGTG